TTAAAATTTCATGGCACTTGCACAGTCAGCTAAAAGAAAATAAACCTTGAACATTACTGTCTTTGGAATCTGTTTATAATGTTTGTGAAAGCTTTAGACATTCTTTAAAACAGTGACGGAGCCATAACGCACGTGTGATAACTGCAAGTCATGTGAGGCCGAAGCAGTTTAATACTGTATATCATATTTTAGTCCCATTGAAATGTATGAATTAAAAGGATATTTTATTGATGTTTTAGGTTAACAGCACTAAAAACGCTTCACTTTTATGGGTTGTGAAACAGCAGCAGTGCACAAATTGTTTGTCTCCTTATAGAGTAACAATTTTTCCATGACTACTTTTCCCCAATAAATAATCCTACATAAGAAATCTGCATMGTGTAAAACGAAACAGCACCAACTACAATCACAACTCTGATGAAGCCTTATATAAGATTTCTTTAGCAGTTCTTAAGTCTCACTTTCATCTGGATTTGATGATCCTTCTAACTGTTTATTCAGGCTTTAAATCACACAAAAAAATGAGCTTAGGCTTCAAGCTTTGCTCACCTGGCACTGYAGATATTTCCATTTCACAGCAGTCTGAGCATATAACTGTTAATGGTTCAAAGGGAGGTCCAAGCATGTGGTCATAAAAGAGAAAGATCTGAGCAGATATTTTTGGAAACCTCTATTAATGACTCGATAAAGTTAAGTGTCCGCGTTTGAAGCACGAGTTTCTTTTGAGTGTGGATAAAGGATATTTTTGAAACCATTCCTTCAGTGTCTGCACAAAGTTTTTCATTCATTGTTCCATTATTTTTTCCCCACAAGAGCTGAACAGTTTGTCTTATTTAAACTCACTGTAACTTTTACATAAATCAGCTAAAAAAAGGGAGGTTAAAAAGTCTGTTCCTCATGTTTTCATTGATTTATCATCTGCACTGTCAATTCCTGTTAATCAACACCTGTTGATTCATCATGTTCAGATCAACATTGTGTCAGTAAGGGAGCACKAACGTATACAAGGCTACCTAAATGTTTTATATTTTCCTGTAAAGAGTGATTAGTGTTGACTTAKCTTGTGATGAAGCATAAATACAGCCATAATGTGCCAAACAAAACAGSAAAACTAATGAAGCTCCATGGTCAAAAAGATCACAGTGCCCCTCAAGCCCAAAGGAARGAAAAATGTTTTTTTGGACAAGTATGTTTTAAAAAGATGCCATCTGTATGTCTGCACGAGGGCCCGGCGCCACCATCTGTGTGTTGACATCACACCATCTCTGTCCTCTACTGCAAACTGCAGGCTGGACTTGGAAAGCAAGGCCAGACGAGCAGGTGGTGCCACACAGTCAGCTCCACTTTCTGAGCGAGCAGATAAGTGCTCTCCTTAAAGCTCGGGTCAATCATTTGATCACATGGTTGACGTTAACYCAGGAAACAAAACTTCTTCCCTTTAAGCAATAAATTCTGAGGATTGGATTAAAAGCATTAAAGACTTGATTCCTAAAAATGACATGTAGAGACAGCTATTCAAAAAAAGTCTCATTGTTGAAAATGTACAATTTCTCAGCAACAGTTTATTTAGTCTTAGAACTCAGTGTGATTATCAAATTATGGGAAAATAACCACAAAAAAAGGGAAAATACTGATGCCTTTATTTCAAAGGGAAACTTTATCCTTGACAAAATAACTGAACAGCACTGTTTGTAATTTGAGCTCTAATCAAAAGCTCAAACTAACAAAGKGCACACACTAAAGCGTTCAGTGTTCTTCTGAGAGTAAAATTACCAGCGTTTACCTCTGGAATGTTAACCTGAGTAAACAGGATGAAACAAAAGATTTTCCGAATACTCTAAATTTCTCCCACAACAAGCTACAATTGGCCAACTTTTCTGGTCACTGGTTTCTAATGGTAGTTGGAAAAAAAAATCAGAACTGGCTACATGTTTGAAACATTTGAAAAGACAGAAAGTAGAGTGAGCTGTGGGCAAGACTGCGCCACTGAAACTGCAACGCTGCATCCTTCTCCGAGCATTGCAGAGTGACATGCTGCCAACTGGGTATTGACGTTTTCACTATCCAGAGTCAGATGTTGGAACGGCCAGTTGTGTCTCTAAATGCGAGGAAGCTTTTTGTTTATCAAATCTGCACTTCAGCGTGAAAACATTTACAAAATAGCTGTTCGTTGCTTGGCAGTCTAAGCCGCTTGACAAGCTTATGAACAGATACAGGAATGATGTAATGTCAGCTCCTTAAAAAGTCTGGAAGAAACCAAGCAGGACTGAACTTGGCCTAACCACTGAAAACAAAGATGAAAATATATGAAACATAAAAAAATAAAACGGTTATTAAAAATTTTAATTTTTGGAGACAAAAAAAAGTAATATATTGTAATACATCGCATTTCTTACAGTATTGTGATATATTGTATAGTGACCCATGGCAAATTCTTGACAATAATCTTCCCTACCATGAACATTATTTAAATGCTCACACTTTAACCGTAACCACCTCAGTTAACTATTTGACAGCCCCCCAATTTTAACTATATGCAAATTTGAATTAAGTTGTTTGTTGTTGTTTAATCCTGCGGCCATGTGGGCGACCAGACCACATCATCACCCTCAAATTACTGAGATGCAATCCCAGTTTAGTTTTACATGTCGACCGTGTTCGTCCCGTTGTTACCTCACTTCACAAAAGGAAAAATAAGGGTGGGTTGGCTTCAATGCCACTTGTCGGTCCATTGAAAAAACAATTTATTATTATTTTTTAAAATCACACAGAGGCAGCCAGAAGGCACCCAAGTCCTGACTTGAAGTGTGGCATGAGACAATGTAAAGCGAATGTATTTTAATGGCTACGTTTGTGCTGAGAATTTTTTTAAACATGGCCAATAAATCTGTAGCAACTTAATGTTACCGGAGATTATTAAAAATGGCCAACGTAGCAACTCTGTTACTTTACACAGCAAGTATTCAGAGAACTCTAGCAACTTTTTTACCCCCTCAAATAAATGTCTACATACAAATCTGACATTACTCCTGGTGTTATTGGAGACATTTAGTTTACAGAAATATACGACTCAACATATTGAGTAACAATAAAGAAACCAAACCAAACTTTAAAAACTCAAACATAAACAAATTACCGAGTGTCACTTTAGACAACCTAAAGCTTGGATAAAAAAGAGAATAAATTGAAAAAATGAAAATGAACAAACAAGAATTGACAAAAAAAAAAACATTTCTGCACACATTTAACATGTTTTACTGCCACAATAATATTTTAATGCTCTCTCCTAGAGTAACCATTTAAACTATATGTACGGTCAAGTAAACAAATTAGGTGATGACATCATTTAGAGACATTTTACACAACTAATAGCTACATTCCTTACAGAGGAGTTGGCAACACTGGAGATTACATGTCTGAGTATCACATGTGTAAAAAAGGAATGTTGTGGCTGTGATTTTATCACAGCTACTTATCTGAATATGACTAAGGTTTACAAGGCAAACAATACAAGGTTACCYGTGTTTTTAGAGGATAAGCATGAAAAGCATGAAGGCATGTGTGTGTTTACRGTTAGTGACAAAGAGAGCTTGAGTTGACCTGATAGCTTCAGGCTAGTCAATAACTAGGAGTGTTGTTTTTTTAACTCCAGAGCACTCCTCCTCCCTCTGGAGAGCCCTGCACTTGTTTGACAGCTCACCCTGATGCATTTCGTCTGATATATGAAGCTGACAAACGCCTTACAGCGTGCCGCTGCTATTTAGGAATGTTTTTTTTACGTGGCTCATGTAAACTCCAGTTCACGTGGGGCGGGTCTAAAAACTGAGAAAAGGCATGAGACAAAAATCAAGATTGGACTCAAATTGATGTGATGCTCAGCAACACAAAAACACCTATTTTCGTACTTCATCTGCAGTTAACATTTAATCAATAACCGTATGCATCAATTATTAATGCTGGTTTGTGGGGAAAAAGTGTAAAAAAAGAGAGATGTGTCAATTACATTCCACTTTATCCACTCTTTGACTCACTTGATCTCCATCTATTCTCCTAAAATGCAAAAGCATTCAGTAAAAGTGTTTTTTTTTTCTTCCCTAAAAGCTCAACATGTTCTTGTTTGGCTGATTTTCCCCAGGACAGGATTTATATTTTATTTCCATGCAACAACACGCTCCCATCTTTTCCCCCAATAAAGTGATGCAAATCCTCGCATCTTTCCCTCAAAGTCACTCAACTGTAAGTGAAGCGACATTCATGTGGAGCTCAATGCTCAGTTTTCTGGCATGGCGTAAAATATGAGGCTCAGTGTCATGACCTGGAAACATTACTGTCAGTAGGATGGCTGCTGTCACAAATGAGATGTATCCAGATCCAAGAAGAACCTAAACTCAAACAACGAATACATTTCATTCATTCACTGTAAATGTACACATAAAAAAGGAGTGGAAACCTGTACAGAAATTCTGACCCAACATTTTTTTTCAATCCCTGGAGATGTAATTGATTATGAATCCAATATCTAGGGAAAGGCTGCCTGTCAGCTGCAGCCCTGAACAAAAACAAAAGCGTTATCTGTTTTTATTGAGGGTGTAGTCRTGGGGAATAGCTACATGGGAAAGTGTCTCTACTGCAGGCAAGAGGTACTGTACAAAAAAAAGATAATATTTTGCACAAGGAACAATTTGATATAAACAAATGTTGAGCTTATGCACTCTGGAAGTTATGAGAAGCATCTAAATAGCGTTAATTGGATGTTTTGTGGTTGGATTTATCCACTAAAGTCCTTTATAAAGAAGGCAACTCTTAAATGGATAAAACAGTGTTTTCCAAACAAAGTATTTAAAATAATAAGTGCTACAGATGAAGTTAAAACAGTAAATGAGCCRTGAACAACGCGCTCGTGCAGATTAGAAATGTTAGCTAGTGTATACAAGTATTGTCTAGGGCATTCACACATATTAGAAAAAGAAAGTAAGAAAGCAACTTGCTGACGCACTCACCTGTCTTAACTGATCCACTCCAAGTTGTCCCGACAGTCCGCGGTCAGAGTTGAGGCTTTTTCTCGCCGGTAGACGCGGGTTTAGCCCGAGTGAAGGGGTGGAGAGTGAAGCGACCGGCGACCGCTGTCTGAGCTGAAGTTTCACAGCGAAAACGAAGAAGAAAACAGCCGACTGGACGYCCAGAGTCAGCGGGTTTAGTCCGAGCCGAAAGGACGCTCGTCTCTTGAGCTTGTCGTCTGTGTGAGAACTTGAATCTGTGTGGAGCAGASTGGGTGTCGGATCTTTTTATCTTCAGTCCTCCTGAACACCGAGGCAGCAGCGTCACTTTACTCTCGCGCGCTGCGTTCAGGTCACAGGAGGAATAACCATTGATCGGAGAATGTACCGTTCTCATTAAAATATTTAGTGCCTTGAACAAATAAAAGTAACTTGCTTTTGTATGCGTTTGCAAGTACCCAAAAATGATTTCCGACATTAACACACTAACCGGTTAAGATGACATTGTACACCCATGTGGGCGGCACTCTTTGTTGACATGAAGTAGAAAAATCCAACAGACTTGAACGCAACACAAAGTGAAATTTCCCAACCTCTTATCTGTTGTTTTTACAACATTCGGTGCATTTTCTCTGTGAATATAGAACAATGCTATGACATGTTAAAGTTTAAAACTGAGTGGTTAGTTAAGACAAACAGAACAAAAAAAATTAAACTTTAGCTGAACGATTAAAACTAAAATGTGCAAAAAACCATAGCTAAAAACTCAAATTGGACAAACTTAAAATGAAGATTTGAACTTAATCTGCATGTGAATTTAGGTTACATACAGAGTTTCACATAAAGTTTTAAAGTGTAGAACTCCACATTCCAGTTTAGAGTAGGGAAATCTCCTCAGATGGAAGCCAAAACATCTAGCACCCTGTCACCAGCGTTTTAGACTATTTATAACCAGTGAAAAGTTTTGCTTTGACTAAATTATTGTCATATATTTAATCTAATATTTAGCATTACAG